ACTACCTTTTGTTGCATTGAGTAAAGTGTATATATATGTTATTATATATAAAATATTACATGTATGCACAATATCAATATGAAAAGTGATTCGACTACATACTAGTGTAAATGTTAGAAGACATCCATAATGCTCTTAAAATTAGCCTAAATCTTCGGACAGTCCTTCTAATGAGTGAATTCAATTACTTTAAGGTCACCCATTACTGATACAGCTTGAATAATCTCAACAGAAAAGCACTGACCACTAGAACAGGATGCTCTGGGGCAGCTTCAGCCTAAGGTCATTATGCTCAATGCCAAGCATGGGCTTGAGGGTATAAAGCTCTCCTGCACTGGGCTGTGGAGCAGCAGAACTGTGTTCTCTGAAGTGATAGAGCTCCATCTAATATCTCTGAGGTGAGCTGGAGTGGCGTTTGTGATCCAGAACTAATCATCCAACATCAGTACCTGAGCTCACTAATGCTCTTGTGACTAAATGCAATCAAATCCTCACAAAAATGTTCCAACATTTAGTGGAAAGCCTTCCCAGAAGAGTGGGGCTGTCACTGCTTCAAACAAACTCACTCTAAATGCCCTTCATTTCAGAAGAAACACTGGTGTCAGCAAACTTTTGGACATATAGTGTTTGTAATCCTAATTACTAAGCAAATGCAGCATTTCCGCAGGATAATTAAAAGCGCCACAATGTCAATATTGTCCAAGAGCGTTCAAGAAGATGACGGTAAATTCAGCCTGAATTCAGTGTTCCAGATCAACCTGTGGGATGACCTGAGTACAAATGTACTGGCTGTATTGAATCCAAAACGGGGCTTTAAGAGAATGTTTAATCATTTGCACCATATTAGCCACTTTTAGTGACTTTTAGTGTTTCAGCAAAATATAGTTTGATAATTACACACTGGATGCTTCAGAATAGTTATAATAAAATTTTCTTTCCTGTCTGCTCTGTTTCCTTGATTTTGTGTGATTTGGTCACTATGATGATCCCATATAGATAGATAGATAGATAGAGAGAGAGAGAGAGAGAGAGAGAGAGAGAGAGAGAGAGAGAGAGAGAGAATTAGATTGCTGATAACATTGCCATATATTGGTACCATATTGGTATTCTCTAGCTTTTGAACAGAGCACAGACCTAGAACTGTAGAACCACAGTGACTGCAGGAATGCACATAACTTAATGTTTACAGTCACAAAATGCATGTATATGAAGTAAAATGCCTAAAATCTTACTAAACATATCCTGTATAGGAATATGACTTAGTTTAACTACCTCTTGGCTGGCAAGCTCGGCAGAAAGCTCAGATAGTTAGTTAGCTAGCTAGCTAACAGGCTAAGACACGTCGCCAGTAACACTGAGACTAAAGCTTTCAGTATTTTTTTTTTTTTCTAAAGAACGAACATGTATATGTCTCACCAGCTTCAAATGTCCTCACTTATGCAGAACTGGAGTAAGTAGGTTATTAAATCCAGTGTAAGCGAAGTGAAAGTGCGCCTCAGTTAGCTTATTGCTAACGCTAGATAGTGATTCCTATAGAGATGCTAGTGAAAGATGGCGCTATTACAACGATAAAGAGGAACAAAACAAAGACTTTTTAAAAGAAAAGCGCACTATATTACGAACGATCAGATGCTGTGCTCTGCAGAAAACAGAAAACGGAATTGATTCTGAAGCATATCTCGAAGTAAAACACGTTTAAAAATTGGTGAAAATGAATACAAGTCTATGAGGAACACTTCCGTGGACTATGTACCAGTGGTGCGCGCTCTGTCGGCAATCTGTAAATATGCTGCAAATAGTTCCTATCCATATGAATTATAATGGACACATTTTAATTTGTTGTTTTTATTAACCAAATTTTATCAGTGTAAAATGACTGATATATCAAAGAGAGAAGAAAGTAAGATTTATTTAGCCACTATTGCTACTACCATACAATGCTACTACAAGAAGTGTAAGTGATTTATTAATGTGTGAAATTTTCTCTCTAGTATAAACTCTGGGAAAACATCATTTTTCTGCCTTGTTTTCTTTACTTCTCCACTCAGAATTCTTTTAGATGTGTTCCCTCACTCAGACCATCCTCTATACTAAACACACACTTCATAAACAGCTTTGAACTTCAGTGTAACTCATTATCATATTCTTTAACCCCTTAAAATCCCAGGCTTATTACATACTAAGGCTTATTATACAGTAACTACAGGAACTTACAGGAGTTATTCTTAGGTTATAGAAGTGTGTAATAAAACTTTGGGTCTGCTGGTGGCCCATTTACAGAGTTAACCCAGTAATGTCTCTTGCCCGAGAATCAAATCTAAAGACTATTTTCAAATCAATCAAAGTTAATTGGGGACTGTTAGATGCTCATCTAAAGTATAACAATACAAGATTTCACCACTGTAGACCAATCAGAACAAGCGTGTGTGGCGCTTTTCCTCATCATACCACACGTAGCTGTTGGATGTGAGTCCATTCCAATTGATTTTGACACTCTTTGACCGCAGCCTTGATTCTGTGATGTGAATGGAGTGATTTTGGAGCTGAGCTTGGGAAAAAACTCTGGTTGATAATTAAAATGTGTGCGGTTTGAACAGAGAATCTGGCTTTTCATCACGTCTGTGCAGGATCACAGCTGTCGAGCTGTTAGTTTCCCACAAAACTGAAGCGTTCCCGCGAGACTCGCTCAGAGGAGAGGAAGCTTTTTCACAGCAAGGACAGCTTATAGCTCAAACACTCTCCATCTGAGCAGAACTCACCATGTAGAGGAGATTCCACACAGGCCCTGAGATCAAAACCTCTTTGCTTCCAAAGAAAGAAAACTCACAAAAAGAAATGCCAACAGATCTGCATTCAAATGTAAAATGCAAGACTGGATAAGCAGCTCTGAAATACATTTCAGTCTTTATAGTCTCAGTAAAAAAAGGATTTGTTTTACATTTAAAAACATAAGTAATCTAGATGACTTAATGAATTGCATTTACTCTCTTTACTGTACTTGAATACATTTTTTGGAGTACAATTAAATCAGTACGTTTACTTGAGTTCATTTTTAATAAAGTATAAAGTTCTAATTTGCTACTTTAATTTTTAATAATGTTACAGAGCAAATATAAATTATGGCAGTGTTATTGTTAATAGCATATCAGCTCATAAACCAATTAGAAGAAAGCCTGATAATTGGAGCATGTGTATAACTGATATATTGCACCCCAAATATGATTTTTTTTTTGAGAAGTAAAGAACTTTTTGACAGATATTCTGCCTATTTTTTTTCACAGCACAAACAGTCACATAAAATGATGAGCTCTGTGCTGAGCTCTGAGCTCTGTTGTATGGTCCAAAGCTTCTCGTTTGGTGTGCAGTAGCATTTAGATGGTTGCAGTAATCTTTCCGTTTCCTTCACTGGACTAAACATATCAGAACCAAAGTCCCAGTAGGTAAATCTGTTTACTAGGCAGCCATCTTTGCAATGCCGCCAAGACCAGGCTCCTAAAGCATATTTGAAATAACTGTTAAAATCTGACAAAAGTCTCATAAATAGTTTGTATCGTTTGGCTCAATAATACACAACAACCAGCATTTTTTCAGGTCGTTCTTTCCCTGCTCACAGCATAACCAGCAAGCTGATTGGCTCTTTTCTTGAAGGGCAGGACTTACTCTGTAAACAGACTCCATGTTAAGTGATATGAGCTTTCTCATTCATATTTCAACCAGTGGCTGGTCTCCTCCTTTATAGCATCTCTGTTAGAACCTCTAACCAAAACATAAGATGCAGGTCTGTACTGCCCTCTGGTGGAGGATATAGCTCAGACAGCTCTTGGTTCTTAAATTTGGCTCAACGCTTCTTCCTAAGTTTTAGCTCTTCCATTACTATTCCTTGTAATCAAGTGTGATATCGATGTGATGCACTGCATTAGAATAGATTATGAAAGAATAAACAGCATTTAATCCACATTCATGGTCTACAAACACTATCAAACCACTCAAAGCAAATATAAATAAACATAGACTTTGCTAACAGTGATAAATCATGCATATTAAAAGCGACATTATGTTATCATATAAAGTCTACTGTCTTCAAGAAGAACACTTCAGCAGTGTTCCTTTTGTGGATGCTAAAGATTTGGGTCTTTCTCACAAATATAATTAAACTGGATCTGAACAAACATTTACACATTGGCACACTCAAAGCAAAGTGATAGTTATATGGAAAACCATCTAATTTTCAATATCAACAGTGAAACACACCAGAGCTAACTGCTACATTTATACTTCAAAGTGTATTACACATGCTTAGGATTATTCTAGAATATTAACAGTAACTTCAATGCAGAAATTTCAACTTCTAATGTAATGAATTTACAACCCTGAAACCCACAATTCTAAAAATGTTGGGACAGTTTGTGAACTGCTGATAAAACCAGAAAGCAATGATTAGTACATTTTGTTTGATCTGTGTTAACTTGAAAACAGTACAAAAGCACAATATCTGACGAATATCAATATTTCATATTTGGCATACCTTATGAAAACCATTGTCTTTTATAAATATACTCTTATTCCAAATGTAATGCCTGCAACACATTTTAAAAAGGTTGCGACAAGAGCATGTTTACCTCTGTGTTACATCACATTTCCTTTTAACAGCACTTAATAAACATTTGGGGACTGAAGAAACAAACTGATCCAGTTTTGAAAGCAGAATTTTCTTTCTTCTGTTATACAAGTCTTCAGCTATGCAACCATACAGGGCATTTGTTGCTGTATTTTGAGCGTAATAAGACACACCTTTTTAATGAGACAGTTCTGGACTGCAGGCAGTCTAGCACTCTCTCTGATTAGGCAGCCATGTGCAGAATGTTTTTCAGTGCTGTCCTGTTGAAATAAGTATGGATATCCTTGAAAAAGACGTTGTCTAGAAGGCAGCATCTGTTCCTACAAAATGCGCCTTCACAGATGTGCAAGTTACCCACTGGCTTTTGAACTTTACACTGGTAACAATCTGGATGGTACTTTTCATGTTACAGTGTTAACTTGCATTTATGCAAGCAGTGATGGATAGCGTTCATTGATTGCTTTGTTAAAGCAACTCCGAGCCCATGTGGAGATATATATCGAAGAATCATGCCAGTTTTTAATGCAGTGCTGTATGAAGGTTCCAAGGTCACAGGCATTCATTAATATTTTTCGCCTTTTTCCTTTATGTATTTATGAGATTTCTCTGACTTCACTGAATGTTTTGATGATACTGTGCACTGTAGCTGGTAAATTACCTAAAATCATTGCAAATGGCTGGATTTTTTGACAAAGTGGCCAGCTTTGATCCATCATTGCGCATAAAGGAATGGGTCTAAAGAGAAATTTGGCAATTTTTGTAAAATTCAGTACTGAATGACAGTAAGTAATGGCAAATATGCAACTTATAGCTTATTATTACTTATCATGGCTTATGAACTATTGCCAGTGTAACTTTAAGCTTTGCTTATGAAATACAATTAAAGAAGTTACTCTGAGAGAGAGAGAGAGAGAGAGAGAGAGAGAGAGAGAGAGAAAGAGAGAGAGAGAGAGAGAATAGATAGATGTCTATGCCGTAGCTCCACACAGTCTGAGCGCTGCTGAGATCTCTTTGGTTTCATCTGGTCTTCCTGACACCATGAACGGCCAACTCTGTTGAAAACAAACAAACAAACAAACGTGCACTTAGCTTAGATCATGCTGGTCATTTACAGCAAGCCATTAAGATCCATAATACACGGGGGTTTTGCTTATTTACTACATACCTCTACCTTGTGCCTACACTTTATTGGCCACAGTTAGAAACTGTAGCTCATCTGTCGCACATTTTATGTTAGTGATCTTCTAGTCCTTCATCAGTGGTCCATTTCTGACCCAAGAACTGTATTTGACTGGATATTGTTGGGTGGATGGTCCACTCCCACCCAAGTAGTGACCCTGACATGTGTAAAAACCCCAGAAATGCCACTGTCTGACACACTGGTAAATCCTGTGGCCAATTTTGTTATCATGATAATATGCATATGCATATCAGAATCAGTACGCTGACCAACTGTACACTACTTACAAAGAAATAATAATTATTCCTGTTTAACTGGATTTATTGCACTACAGTATGTAAAATGTTAGTAATAATCAATGTATTTACAGGTTTTGATGGCAGCTTTTAAATTTAGAATTACTCGTTCATAGTATCTATGTGTCAAAATACATACCGTGTATCGTTAAAATATCTAGAAGTATTATGATAAGATATTTTTGCAATATTGCCTACCTATAGTAAGAAAGTGTAGTTGATTATGGTAAAGAAAAGTTTAACCCCAGAACTCCAGACATCTATTCCTAGTGCTGTAAAAGGAATCTGGTGAATTAGCCTTTACCTGCTGTGGTTTGCTGTCAGTTGTTGTAAATACATTAGGCCCAAACATTGTGTTAATTTGCCTATTTTTCTAAAGATATGTCATGAGCTAAGCATAGACTGTTAAACACTCTGTTTGTGATTCTGTGCTTTTAATGCAGATTTATTTCTGGTTTAATAAACATATGCCAATATGGGATACGTGGGCCAATGCCCATATTTGACAATTTATGTATATCTGCCAATGTCGACAAATAGACATTTATTAAATATAAAAATTGATACTATATGCTACTTGGGTTAGCATTACTAGAGAAAGGTAATGCTTATTTCAGTAGTTACAGTAGAATGCAGTCAAATGAATAATATATAGATATTTTAGGGCAAACCCAAGGTCACCTAAACATTCAACACACATCGTCATATCATTCTGAGTATCAATCAAATCTAAACATCTGTGTGGCTCCAGACTAGCAGCGTCCCGAGCACAGTAAAAGTAGAGTGTGGGACAATTTACTTGCATGCATAAACTTAACACTTAAAAACTAACTACACCCTAAGATATTTTTTTTCATTAATAGCTGAAATGCATTGTTCTGTAATAATAATATACACCAGCCTTGCTTGAAATGTGAACACATCTTCCCAAACTGTAAAAATAACATTTTTTTCATGGTCAGTTCCACCTCTGCAGCGCCCCTCTGGTTTAGCTCTGCTATAGGCGCGGATGACGTGTCTTCGTACCGAAGTATGATGACACATTGCAGTATGGAAATCAGTCAATCAATATTACCGCTCCCTGATGACGCCCTACTCGTGCTGTGCTCATAAATATGAAATATGAGCCTAGAGTGAGTAGATAACCACACTCACACGCTGAGCTACATACCCCCAGCACCACCTCACAAGGCTGTGATACGCCAGATGTCTGTACCAACTGTAAATAACCCAGTTAATCTAAGCCACAGGCGCGTGACTCACTGATGAGAAATCAACTGCAAGCAACATTGGAACTACGGAAAGTAAGAAGGTTCAGGAAAGATTAATGCTAAATGGCCACTGTTACTGACCGTGTCAACCTTTCGTCCGTACAGCCTTTCTTGAACTTTTTTCTGTGTTTTATATAACATGGACTTGCTGAACAAATAGAATAATTAGAAGCTTTAGGGAATGTTCTACCATTCGGACATACTCCCACTCACTGCTAATCATTTTCTGGCACTACGTAAACTCTTCCACGGCTTGTGTCAGTGGCTTATAGTGTTAAGGCTCAAAACACCCTGCCTGATCAGAAACACCTTCCGTCGAGGATGGGGATGGTAGTGGAAGAAAATTGTCAACCCCGTAAGACCTCTCGGTTGCAAAACTGCTGTTTAATTCTGTCACTCTCCATATTTTCTGGTAGCTAACGTACGCTTTTCCCTCACAGCCCCACTGCCAAACCCAAACATCACTGCAGTGCCCCTCACACCATGCCCCTCCCATTTTTGAGCATTTTTCAAAGATGAGCTAGGGATGAAGTTAGATGAAAATAGTGGGATGTAGTTACTCTTTAATGTCCATAAAACATAGTTATAAAATCATGGGGAAGCCAGCAGGTTACACCCCTCTAAATATTGCAATGTTTAATCCAGAAACTGTATTAATTCACATTAATTTCTACCACTAGCAAAATGCTAATTTCCGTTAGCCTCGAAATTCTCATGTAGTATTATCATCAAGCTAACGATTGTGTCTTTTAACACCATAAATATGGAAATATTGAAGCCTAAAACAGACATTTCAGTAATATTTTCTTACTTTGTACATTATTTCAGTCTCTGCTTGTAATCTGGGTGAATATGGTAGCATTTTCATAAACTTAATGTTGTGTTCGGTGATTACATACCACCCTTTCGGTGCCAAATTATGTTCCATAGGTTGGTAGAATGAAAAAATAAGTGCTGGTGTTGTATGCTAATTGTTAGCTAGTTAGATTTTCTTTTTCACCTGTTCCCCAAAGATTAAGGCAGAAAAATAGCTGTCCTCTGCTGGTCAAAGCTAGTGCAATGTGCTGAGTGTTAGCATTGTTAGTTGAGGGTTTTTTTTTTTTTTGAGGTTTTTGATGGCGAAAAAATTGAACTTTTGTCATCATACCCATACTTCTATACTGTTCATATATCTATAGGGACATAAACGTATTTATGGACCATAGATATGTTTGCATACTTGCCTGAGTATAGGAATGTGCATGAATGTCAAGCATGTTTTTTGTGTACTGATATCTGAAGAGTTTAGGCAGTTTTAATATTTTTGTTGTTTTTAGTTTGTAATTTAAAAAGTCAGAAACCTCAGCTGCATAAAAAAGTTAGTTAATTAAAGTTGTAATAGTAAGATAACAGAACAATGATGAAGCTCAATAAAATCCAAATTTTAAGGCCGACTTGTTTAAAGGTAGAACTCTGTTGTGAACACAGTCTGTAGCCCTGATCTGTTTGATGCTGATAAATTTTTAAAGCAGTTATCTGTTAATACCAATGTGATTCTGATATCATCGTGCATCCCTGGTGTTTAATACCCCTCCCTACCCTCCTATCTCCCTGTGACCTCCTTCTTACCAGTGCAGGGGGGTGCAGCGAGCTGGTGTGTGTGTCCTCCTGCAGTAGCTGTCGTAGGTGTGTGATGTAGCTGGCTGCAAGCCGCAGTGTGTCGAGTTTGGACAGTTTGGTGTCAGGGGGCACCCAGGGCAGGGTGGTCCGCAGACGGGTGAACGCCCGCCCTAGCACGCGCATCCGTGCACGCTCACGTGCGTTCGCTGCACTGCGCTGCACACGCCGCGACGGCTGACCCTTCACGCCTTCACATGCAGCACTGCCCACATCATCGTCCTCAGAATCTACAGACCGGCACAGAGGGGGAGTGTGGGGTCCGGAACTCTCCACACGCCCACAGCACACTTCATCCTCAAGGTCACTGACCGAACCAGTGGACATCACGACTGGACACACAGAGCAGATGGAGATTTTCTTTTCTTTATTATTCTCTCTCTTTCGTTTGCAGCTCTTGCTGAAGCTTGTCACTCTCGCAGATGTTTCTGCATGAAAATCCACAGAAATGGAAACAAAAAGCACAGAAAGTCATTATGAGTGAGTAACAACCCAACAAGGATTGTAGTAAGGATTAAATTAAGTTTAGCAGAGCCAATCGAGGATGTCTCGGTTTTATTTTCAAATTGAATTTTGGGTATATTTCATGTCTTCAGCCATTTACTTCAATTACATGCAATTTATAACTGCAAGCATGCATGTATTAGTGAGATCCTGCTGGTGTGGGTTTACTCTATTTCAATGACTGCATTTACATGCACTCAATAATTAGATCATAATCAGATTTCTGCAGTTATCTGATTATTCAAATGGTCATGTAAACAGCATATTCCGATTTCTTAGATCGGAGTAAGGTCTAGAAATCCAATTAAGAAATCTGATGAACAGAGCTGGATTTCAGCTCAGTAATCCCCCTTGTGGAGAACCCTCAGCGTGCAGACCATCACTGAGCAAGCATGTTCTAAGCCAACTTCTTGAGGTGTTTTGGACCTAAGAAACCAAAACTCACTTAAAGAATGTTTTTTTTATAAAAATATACAACATATACAAGTGGCAGCTCTGCAAATATTGGTCAATCTAGGTTTAAAACTAAAATGTAGTTTTGAAAAAGGTTAGTAAACAGGTTTTTTTTTTCTATGTCGTCCTTTAAGAGCATCTACCAGAAAATACTGAGCAGAAAATCCACCTTGCCTATACTGTTTATTTCAACCCATCAATTAATCGGTCAATCAATCAATCAATCAATCAATAAATTAATCAACATTCTATTAATCATTAATGACCCTTCATGTCCTCTATTCTTTGAGTTGTCACCCTTGGGCCACCGTTATTGCTGCCCAAGATGCCAGTCTGTCTGACAGAGAATGTCATAAGTGTCTGAGGCCATCAGGTTGATCAGTTCACAGTGAGCTATGTGCTGACTATGACTGTAATTACTTATCTTATTTAATAAGATGTTTGTCTTTAGTTGTCTGCAGATATTTCTGTCATATGTCTGTGTCACATGCTTATATGCCCAGTTATGAGCTGCCCTTCAGAGACAAATTAATTCAGTCTCATTTTCGAACATGGTTCTTCAGTGCTTCTTCTATGGCATTGCTCAGAAGAACCCATTGAGGCACGTTTTTTAAAGAACTTGGAACAAATCTACCCTGAAATATCACAGAACTGCTTATCGCACAATATAAAGTAGTAACAACAGTAGACAGACTGCATGCAGTTTAAAGGGGAATTCTGCCAATTTATTAAATTTCTTCACAATTAAATGGTTAAGATGTAAACACAGTGGTGGTGATAGGAACCAGATGACCACTGAAAGCTCCTCCCAAGAAAGTGAATACATTAAATTGTTATGAATGCAATGTATTGTCTGATACATTGTTTTATCATAGTTTTGAGTAGGTTTTGTTATAAAACATTTTAAAATCCATTCATGGTGGAGGGGAACATGCAGGGAGTTGTCAAACTTTTCCACTGTTTTACCATCAACTACATTACATATAAAAACTCAGAAGAAACATGTAGAAATGTTGTTCTGGGAGTGAATAAAATTACATATAATTTTTATCATTTTATATAAGTACTGCCATGCAAATGTTGTTGACATCACAAATCCTGGATCCTATCACCAGAACTGTAAAGAAAACTTTCTCTACAATGAACCATTGCACACCAAACCACTCTGAATGACTTCATTTTCATGTCAACCATTAAATTATGGAAAAACCCTGGAATTTCCCTGTTACCATAAGAATAATGAATAGACAGCTTAATGATATAGTTCTATTCCAAAACTCAAGCATAGATTTGTTTGTTGTGCAGCATAACACACAGTGTATAGTCGCTCATGTAACGCTTGCCACACATAGCCTAAGTACCTTATTTAGTATCATAGTAAACTAAAATTATAATACTTTTTTTTTATTTAATTTTTTTTTTTAATTTCAGTCAATATGCAAGGTTTTAGTGTCAATATTGAAAATAGTGATCATGCCTCTCCAACAGTCATGTAAGCATACAGTCAAATCCAAATGTTAGCACACAATTTCTATTTATTTGCTGAGGGAGAGAAAATAAAACATAAACAAATAAAATGTGCCATAACTTTTGCAAATTAACTGAAGCTGAATTAGCTAAGCAGTAAATATGTATTAAAATGTGCAGAAGTGTGTTCTGTGTAGAGGATGTGTTCACTTATTTTCACTTAGTAAATCAACAAAACATGGAATTTGACCAGTGGTACCCAAACTTTTGCATACAGCTCATTGCAAAAGCTGAACACTCTGTCCCTCATTTCCTTGCATTGCTGCCTGAAACTGTACAAATTTTAATCAAAAACAGCAAAAAAGCTCAAAGTTTCGATTCAGCTTCCAAAATGTACTATTTTAAGCCCCTGAAAGCAACACTCTGCAATGTGTACTTGCATATTTCAACACATCTCAAACGCAAGTATATTTAAATGTAAAACCCCCGCACCTACTTTTCTTTCAGTGCTGTTTTTTGCTGAAGCTCCTCGCTGCAGGTCACTCTCTGAGTTTTTTGTGCCTGAAAATCCACACAGAAGTAGAAAAAGATCATCATTAAGTGTCCAAAATACCATATTTCTGAATGAGACCAATAGCTATAGTCCAATACTCAAACACATACTCTGTCTGTCTCTCTGAGTGCTCTTTACATGTGTGCTCCTTCTTCCTCCAAGTTCATTTAAACTCTGACCACCACCAACAACCCCCCCACCCCCCACACACACCATAACATCACGCTTTGGCATGGGCTGGGGGTCCAACAGTACTGATAGAACCATGGAGGAGGAGGAGCAGAAGGGTGTTTCAGCTGTTTCAGGGTTCAGATGACTCACAGTAGACGTCACCCACACTACAAAACTGCCAAAATAATGGAATCAAGCAGTGATCTATGAAGGCAAATTCCAAAAAACTTTGAATTTCCAAAAACTCAAAATTTCTGCATTATTCAGTAATTGAGAACTTAGTGAGTCAGAATTGTTCACAGTGGTAATGATAGGAACCAGACGTCTCTAAAAGCTCCTTCACAGAAAGTTATTACATGAAATGATTATGACTACACTTCCGGATGCCTGAGACATTATTTTACAACAGTTTTGAGATTAGATTTAGGCCTAAAGTGTATATTTATAATTCACAGAGGTACATGCAGGGTGTCCTAAGGCAAAATAGTTCCAAAAGAAAACTTTTTTTTTAAGTTTTATCGCTATTTTAGCATCATAAACATTACATGTAAAAACTCATAAGACATAGATTCACTGTTGGTTTTAGATAGTAAATAAAATGACAATATTTGTGCTGTAGACATTGTGACCTCTGGTTTCTGTCATTACCACTGTAAAGAAATCTGAGTCTCTACAATGAACTATTTCACATCAAACCATTCTGAATGACTTGTTCATGTCTCCACCACTGAATTATGCAAAAAATTTGAAAAATTGTCCCCTTTAACTGAGTCATTTGCTGAGCATCATTCAAACAGTGCAGCGGTAAAAACTATGCACTAGTTGACCAAGACACATAATTCTCCTGTCTCATAAAAAAAAACTTGTAAAACTTGTAAAACAACAATGAGATCTAATGGAAAGACAAAGGACACTTTATCTAAAAGGGCCCACTCATCGTCTAAGCCACTTATCCTCCTGGGTCACGGGGGATGCTGGACACTATCCCAGTGCTCACTGACATACAAAAAGTTAAAAGGTTCATGAAATGACCGCAACATACACTGATCGACAACCAAATTATTCTTCTCTGCATTCAGCAGTCCATAGTTGCTTGGCAACATGAATTCGATCCCTGGTGATGCTACAGCCATTCGTAACCGGTAGTCCAAGTTAGCACAACTGAACTCACTCTTTGGGTGGGTAGGATGGCCCCCCTTCACCCCTCTATCACTCAACGAGATGCTAGTCAGCGCAGGCGTCTGTTTGAGAGGAAGCTTTCAGGCATCCTTCAGAGGAAACCTGTGCTAGCCTTCGCCCTCCTAGCATATCTTGTGACTGGGGGAGTCCTAACTAGTTGTTGGATTTGGAAACGACTAAATTGGGGAGAAGAATTGGGGGAAAACTAAAAAAAAAACCTAATTGAGAGTCATCAGTCCATAAAACCTTACTCCACATCTCAGATGGTCCGTTTCAGTGTTCTAGCATGACTTGTTCTTTTCTGTCTGCTTCCTTTTCTTAGTAAGAGCTTCTTGACAGCTACACATCCTTTCAGACTCATAGCATTGAGCTGTCCTCTCACAGTGGAAGGATGGCTGTGGATTATTTCAGATCTAAAACAAGTAGAGCTTGATTTTCTCTTCTCTCTCAAAGATGAAAGTGCTGTTTATCTGATGGGGACAGTTTTGGTGGTCTACCAGGTCTTGCATGGTTGTCATTTTCTCTGTAGCATTTGAACTCCAGTTTTGGAAACTCCTGTTTTTTTCACTTTCATTTTCTCCTTCCTTATGCACCTGGATTATTTTATATCTAAGCTCTTTTAGAAATATCTTAGATGTACATGTGAGAGATGTATTAACACTACATAGACAAAAGTATTGGAACACCCTTTCTAATTATTGAGTTCAGGTGTTTGAGCCACACCCATTGCTAACAGGTGGATAATATTAACCACACAGCCTTGCAGTCTCGATAGACAAACAGTAGAATAGGTCAGACTGATGAGCTCAGTGACTTTAAACATGGCACTGTCATAGGATGCCACCTCTGGCACAAGTCAGTTTGTGAAATTTCTGTACTGCTACATCTGCCCCGGTCAACTGTAAGTGCTATTATTGCGAAATGGAAGCACCTAGGAGCAACAACAGCTCAGCCACAAAGCAGTAGACCACACAAACTCACAGAGCAGGGCCGCCGACTGCTGAATCGCTCACTAAAGAGTGTTGAATCACTCACTAAAGAGTTCCAAATTGCCTCTGGAAGCAACATCAGCAAAAGAAGACGAATCACGCTTCTCTATCTGGCTGTCTGATGGATGAGTCTGGGCTTGGCAAATGCCAGGAGAATGTTACCTACCTGACTGCAGTGTGCCAAGAGTTTTGTGGAGGAGGGCTAATGCTATGGGGTTGTTTTTCAGGGATTAGGCCCCTTAGTTCCAGTGAAGGGAAATCTTAATGTCTCAGCATACCAAGACATGACTTTGTGGAAACAGTTTGGGGAAGGTCCTTGTCTGTTCCAGTGTGACCGTGCCCCAGTGCATAAAACAAGGTCCATAAAGGCATGGCTGGGTGAGTTTGGTGTGGAAGAACATGACTGACCCACACAGAGCCCTGATCTCAACCCCATCAAACACCTTTGAGATGAACTAGAACAGAGGTTGCAAGACAGGCCCTCTCATCCAACATCATTGTAAATGCTCTTCTGAATGAATGGGCAAAAAAATCCCACAGACGCTCTCCAAAATCTTGTAGAAAGCTTCCCAAAAGAGTGGAAACTGTTATAGCTGCAAAGGGGGACCAACTCCATATTAATGCCTATGGATGTAGAATGGGATGTCATAAAAGCTCCTGTGAGTGTAATGTTTAGGTGTCCCAGTACCTTTTTCCATATGGTCTATGTGTGAGGCAGCTAAGGTGAGTTTGGGTAGTTGTTTGTGTGAATGTTAGTGCCTGTTTGAACGGGAACACAAGTCAGTGGCTCCATTGAGAAGCTTTTGTTGGGAGGACACAACTGGAACTTATTGAGTTCCAGTTGTGTATTGAGAAAAAAATGGTATTACATTTAGTTGGTGAGACTTCTGTGTCATTTTCTGATGAATCTGTGTTTTCTGCATTTGTACACTTATGAAAAAGATGATTCTGTAAGAGTTCTTTACTAAAGACAGTGGTTCTACATAAAACCATAAACACTCAAAGAACCATGTGCATGCTTAAACGATTCTTTCTATGGTAAAATGGTTCTTCAGATTGACTGAGAATGTGTTGTGTAAGGTTCTATATAGAGCTTTTTTGAAAAAGGCTCTACATAGCACCAATCAAACCTAAGAACCATTTTACCATATAAAGAACCATTTAAGCCTGCAAGTAAGTGTTCATGGTTCTATATAGAACCATTGTGTTTACTAAAGAACGCTTGAAGAACCGAGTGTACTTAATGACCGTTTTGATCAGAAATTAAATGAACAAAAGGGTGGTCTCTGACATTTGCACTGTATGTTATATATATTTTTCATTATTATATTTTATATTTGATAAATGCTTTGAAATACCCTGACAGATATGAACTGTATGTGTGAATATAATGTTTAAAAGAGATGCACACAGTTTTTATTTATTTTGGACATAATTACAAAGTTCTTTGGCTCCTTCAGCTGAAAAAAGTGAATATTAACTCCATCTGAAATCTGTACATGCTGTGCATTCTCCACAGATGCTTTTTAGCTAATAGAAATGTCTGAAAGCTTTATCAGAAGTTCCTAATCCACCGGCCTTTTCACAGAGGTATCAGGTTTCTGCTAGTCCACAGCATCTCTCACACGGCCGGTCTGCATTGGCCACAGCTGTCAGCACCTCGCTTTACATCTGCGGGATGGCAGAGATGGAGAAATGACTGAGTGAGGGAGCAGGGGAGGGTTATAACTGCTGTACAACATGGTCACATAATAATAAGAAGAAGATTTCTTTTGATTTATTTTGTTGAACATGCTGTGCATTGAACAAGATTACTTGCTGTAAAATTATAAGTAATACAGTGATGATCAGACACTGTAAGGAAATATTCCATTAAAAAAGTAAAATGTACTGGCAGAAAATTACCAGCACATGATGGTACAAGTCAATGGGCAATTCCTTCACTGCTGTAATGGAAAACTATTAAACAGTATATTCTTTGTGTATTGACAATTCATTAACATCTATATAGAACTTTTTTAACTGTTTCTGTATCATCTCTAAAAATCATGTATATTAAATTCAAATAAATAAATATTAAATTCAGTAATGTGGCAGTAACAGTTATCTTTTGAACTCCCAACAGACAATTCATAAAAAAAAATACTTAAATTCCTTATTAATAATCTTAGCATCTTATAGCTAACAGCTCTTACTCAAGGCAAATCAGTTTGCTATCATTACAAATAACACACACACACACACACACACACACACATTATCTAAGCCTCTTATCCTCCTGGATCGCAGGGTTTGCTGGAGCCTATCCCAGTGGTCATTGGCAGGAAGGTAGGAAACACCCTGGACAGGTCGTCAGGACATCACAGGGCAGACACACAGACACAAAGACTGCATGTCTTTGGACTGTGGTAGGAAACCCACGCAGACACGGGGAGAACATGCAAACTCCACACAGAAAGGACCCTGATTGCCCGGCCGAGGAATCCAACCCAGGCATTGCAAGTAACAAATAAACACAAAACAAATACATTTCTTTTTTCTCATTCTTTGTATACATATTTTATAATTTCTGCAATAAAAGGTACAAGTTCCCATGGCTAATTAGCCACTGTTAGCTAACTGTAGCCAGCTAGCTAGCACCTGAATTCTGCTCATTTCAAGTCTATCAGCAAACATTAACATTTCTGAGAAAATGTAGTACTGACAGATTGTTAGTTATCATAAAAAGTAACTTAAAGACATCACTATGAAAAGTGAAAACACTAGCTAACATTATGCTCGCTTGTTGGCTTAATAGCTAACGTTAACTTTAGCTATTGTTTAAAGTTAATCAGTACT